TTTATCTTTGTTAACTGGTGTAACATTTGATTTCGTGGTGGCAACTAGGGTGTAGCTATCAGTGGATTGGGGCGAATTACTGTCACCTTTGAAATTCCTAAGCTTTTCGGGTCACTAATGACCTGGTGTAGGACTTGATTAGGTATATAGGTAACACCTCTGACTACAGTGATCAATGACAAAGGTTTGAACCCCGGATGAGACATAAGTTCCGCCGGGGTTGCAGATATTCCTTGCTGACGAGTGTCAACAAGAACGAAACCTTGGTAAAAAGCTTCCCACAAATTGCCTCCAACCAATCTACACCCATATGCTTGCGTTTTATTACTTTAAATATTACTGTTTAGCTACTGAATTATTTTTGTTTCTTTGCAAACGGCTTACGTATAATGATAAAAAAATACCTTCAAGTGACTCAAGCATGTTGGTTTACTGTTCAGTCATAGTAGATTTAAATCTGGATAGACCAGGAAGTCAGAGTGGTTCCTAAATCGTTCACCTGAGTACTCATGTGACTATGTGGCCACTGAGAAAACTCTTTGTTATAATCAAGCACAGTAGTGGGTGGCGACAGCGAGAGAGATAGAGATAGAGAAGGGATCAGGGTTGGGTAAAACTCGGCCACTATTTAGGTTCATTAGGGATACCAACAAGAATACAACGATAGCTAGTAAAACCATAACCGAAAAGGATGATACCCTGATAGCTCCCCAAGGCAGGTGACTTAAACGTTGAGCAGAGCACTATGAGGCACTTCAGCTGACCCTCAGTAATGCTTCAACTACTCAACAGTCAGCCTGTGCATCAATGGGACGCAGATGTTGATTCCCTAACTATCCTTGAAGTTTAGGAGGCTGTATGGAACCCGAAACGATCCAAAGCACCAGAACCTGACAGTTTGCTATCCAAAGCCTTCAACTATGGAGATAAGAAATCGCTGATAAGAGGGAGGAGGTAATGTGTAGTGTTTGGGAATCAGAGGTAGTGCTGTCAGACTAGTCTACTTCTCTAATCATCCCAGTTTCAAATAAAGGGAGGGATATTCTTGTGACAACTATAAGGGGTCTAGTTTGACTAATATTACGTCCAATATCCTAGAATCTAGGGTTAGCCAATGCCTTACTGGAGCTTAAAGACAGCGAACTCGAGCAAAACAGGAGGGTTTCAGACCTAGACAGGGTCTATCAGTAATACTTTTACCCTACTACAGATTCTGGAACACAGGCATACTTACCGACCAGTGATTGGGATTTGCCATATTTATTGACTCGAAGGGGGCATTTGACCCTGTCGACTATGAGGTGTTGTGGTATTATCTGACTGAAAATGGTGTGCAGAGCAAGCATGCAGTGATTACCAAAGTTCTTCACTCGAACTCACACAGCCATGTAAGTGCTTATGGGTAGTTGCCATATTTAGTCACGACTAAATAACTCAGCTCACAGAACACAATACAACCAAGATAGTTGCCACGTGAACTGACGATAGCTGGCGGTGTCTGCAGGGATGCTCAATGTCACCGGTCCTATTTAACTTCGTCATGGACTTACTGATGGATATAAACTTTGGTACGTCTGACTTCAGAGAGGCCAATCTATCCCACGGAGTTCATCAGGTTAACTTGGAGTATGCAGACGATATTGTCCTATCGGGTGAAGATAGTGACAAAATGCAGGGTATTGAGAATGCGTGGAACAGAAATCTGTGTACGTTTGGTATGCGTTTCTCACCTTTGTAATGTAAGATGATGCTCCATGACTGGTCTGATGCTAGTACTCTTAGTTTAATGACAGGGAATTAGGCGTTTGAGCGTGTTGAACACTTCATTTACTTAGAGTTGCATCAGCCCACCGAACGGGCTGGTCACTAACAAAATCTCGGCTCGGATACGAAAGGCCCATTTGGCGCTTCCAAACTCGCGTTATCTGTGGCTTCAACCGGTGAGATTTACAACTCTCTACTAAAGAACAAGTATACTGCTCTACAGTTCATTCTGTTTCGTTATACGATTGTGAGACATGGCCATTGAAAGTAGAAGGTATGAAGTGACCATAGGGTTTTAATCATGGGTGTCTTAGTAGCATTGGTCACGTTTGGTGGAATCACCTTATGAGCAGTGGTGTCGGGGTCAGGTAAAGCGTACTACGCAAGACAGGCAAGTCGGTTGATGAGGTTGAGAACCTCAGTCGAATGAGATGGCTTGGACAGATGTTGCGCATGCCAAGTCACCGCCTACCTCGAAATGCCATGGAAGAGGAAGTTAGATCAGGCTGGAAGAGAGTTCAGAGTTGCCAGAGCAAGAAATGTCACCAGTCGATCAAGTTTCTTACTGTTGACCTGAGCCAAGCGGTAAGACGTGGATTGCCTGGTTGGGGCCCCCAAGACAAAGAATCAGTGGTTGAGGACTGCTGGTGTCATGACTGAAAATAGGTTGCAGTGGCACAGATGTTTTCACTCCTTGACATCTTCTAAAGCTTGAATATTTACACTAACCTTTATATGTAGATTGTTTATTCTGCCACAGAACTTTTTCTGCTCTGACATCACTCATTTTCTATCCACCTGCTCATTGTGTACTACTGTGGCGAGGGCAACTTGAACCAACTTACTTTTATAAGAGGTTCTGAATTAATTTTGTCACTCTTTCTGTCCTTGTGCCACAGGATGAGACTGTATACCGAGTATGCAATTATCCATATCAACGGTAAGTAAAACATTTAAGTCTGATTATTAGAAATGTCACATAATGAAACAGTATCATTTATTAAGTAACGTTTCGGATACAATTTATTGTCCATGTTCACAACTTTGAAACAGAGTGTATATATTCCCAATTTCCTCTCCTTCTCTGTGATGACAAGGGTAGTAAAATTTTCTATATATCTGGAACAGGTGAACAATCATTTCTATTGCATGTGTTTGGTGTTGATTCGATAATCAAGGATTTGGTTATCAATTTCTCCCTCCACCCAACTAAGTCAGTCTATAACGCTGTCGCTCCATCCCACTCTACTGTTTGATTGTGTGTAATTGCGTGCAGAGCTATAGCTGAGCTTTTCTCTAACTTTCTTATCTTATTAATTACCTACCAAAGTTTACAAATAAATTCACAAAAAATCAGGAGAAAAACATTAGCTGTGGAGGTAATAGTAATACAGGTGTTATTAATAATAATTCTACTACTAATGGTAATATTGATGACAGGGTTGAGGGAGGACTCAAGGCATACATGGAAGGCACCTGAGAAGCATTATGAAGAATTTTCAATAAGGCCGTAACTTAAATGGGATTTAAGCCAACAAACAAGCTTAGAAACAAGCTATGTAGGTTAAAAGATCCTTACGATGCAATTAAGAAAAGCTCAGCTATAGCTCTGCACGCAATTACACACAATCAAACAGTAGAGTGGGATGGAGCGACAGCGTTATAGACTGACTTAGTTGGGTGGAGGAGAAATTGATAACCAAATCCTTGATTATCGAATCAACACCAAACACATGCAATAGAAATGATTGTTCACCTGTTCCAGATATATAGAAAATTTTACTACCCTTGTCATCACAGAGAAGGAGAGGAAATTGGGAATATATACACTCTGTTTCAAAGTTGTGAACATGGACAATAAATTGTATCCGAAACGTTACTTAATAAATGATACTGTTTCATTATGTGACATTTTTAATAAACACACTTAAATGGGATTACAATCTACCTCATTTCCCAAGTTTAACTCCTATATTTATGATAAGTGAATCATTCAGTGAAGTTTATAAGCGGAAACTGTTGTTGGTTTCATGAGTTTACTCAAGTCAATTCATATGCTACAAGTTCTGAAGAAACTGTAATCATATTTACTGAGCAGAATATATTTATTAGAAATTAATTTTAGAAAGAGACATCAGAACGCCTCTGAATAGATATGCAATTGAACTTTAATGTAACATAGTAAACATATGTGAATATTCGACTTATAGGAACTCGTTAGAACTTAAATTATTCGAAACTGTTGTCTTATCGTTTACTCAGTTGGCAAGTATGAGTTATCGGCAATTAAAATAGTCAGTTCAGATAAGTTAATCTAACCAAGACGGTATATGATTACCAGTTTGTTATTGGTTATCGCTCAGGTACTGAAGAAGTATATTTATATATATCTAATTGGATTCAATAAAAAAAATTTCTCTGAATTAAAACTAAAAATATAATACATCATTCATTCATTCTTTTAAAGTGGTTTCGTCTCATTTAAACAAGAAAACCAGCTTAAGATGAGTTGATTAATTTTTTCTTAATTTCCATGAATGTGCTTAATACGGCTTCATCACATTTTCATAGTGTTTCATGAGATCTCATCGAGGAACTCACATTCTTTATCCTTATGGAAGTCACTTAAAAACATCATGCTTTTAATTTTCAAATCTTTTCAATCCCTTAGTTTTATTATTTTTGATCAACTCTTGATATGCTTCTTACCATCACATATTTATATTTCGTTTGAAGAAAAACATCACTTCACACAGCATATTATTTTTCCCTTGGGTTCCTAGTGGAACATAGGGCTTCAGTAGCACGTCTGTATTTTACTCTCTGCTCTCTATAGTCTTTTAAACCTCGCTGCATGACTGCTCACATGCTTTTATTTCTCTCCTACACGACCTCCTCCATGTCACCCTCAGCTGAGACGCCTAACTCATCGTTTCCCCTTTAGATTCTATTTGACGGCCTGGCCTGATGCGTGATGTACCCAAACCGTCTTCTCAGTGTATAACCCAATCCATCTCCACTTTCTTCTATATATTTGTTGGGCAATTGGTCCTTGGTTGGTTCGTTGTCAGACCAGAGTGAGTTCCTTGTTGCTTATTCTTTTTGGTCATCTGGTCTTCACTTCACACAGTGAATAACGCTATATCACAATCAACTTTAAGTTAATCATGAGATAAGAAATAACGCGATTTAAACAAACAAAATAATTTAATAAATAAAACGAAAAAAACTCTTACCTAAATACGTTTTTGGAACTTGATCGCCATAGCCAACAGTTGTCATGGTTACAATAGCCCACCATAAACCAACTGGTATGGAAGCGAAATCATTTTGTGGATTGTATTGAAATCGTTCAGCATAGTACATTAATGCCGCAAATATTACAATAAATACCATGAGAAAAAATACTAACAATACTAATTCTTTAAGGCTTGCACGAAATGTGTGAATTAAAATTTTCAATCCAGCAATATGACGTGTTAATTTAAACAAACGCATAATACGAATAATTGAAAAGAATTCTAACGCTTCATAACTTGCTTCATTCGATAAAATTTTTGTCAGTAAAAGATCAACATAGAATGATATCAAAGCTAACAAGTCGATAATATTCACTGGTGACTTGATAAACTCTAATTTGACGGTGTCACAATAAAGCGTATTGTAATTTCAAATGTGAACCATGCATTAGAGATACATTCAACATAACCAAATATTATATGAGATTTTATTAGGCGTTTACGAATTGTCCATGTGCTAAGATCAGCTTCATTTTCTGCTTGATGAATGAAACGTTTACCACGTGAATGTCGAGTATACGTTGAGGAGGAAGAAGGATAAGGGAGATATGAAATCTGTTTATCATATGTATACAGGTAATTTGTCCTGGGTATTACCGAATCATTATATAATTGAGGTATTCGAAGACTGGATGATGTTTTTAAACAAAAACACAGGATTGATAAAACAATGAAGAATACAGAGATGACAGCAATAATCTAAAGGAAACAGAATAAAGGGTAGGAACGTTATCTCATTGTTTTGTTAAGTTACAAGTGTTAAATTTTACTTGAATAAATACTAAGTAACAAAGGATTATTTTGACTGTGAATTCCTTTGCCGTCTGCTAGATTAACCTTATATATTCGTTGCTTTGGGAAAGAATAAAATAAAACAATAAAAACAATAAGAAATCTTACTTCTACAATACAGAGTTCTTATCAAGCATTAGCCTTCGATGCTTAGATCCATAAAATCGACTGCTTATTAAATCTCTGAAAATTATATGCTGTATTGTGAAGTTTGTGTTTTAGGGTTAAACGGAAGAAACTTTGAACTAAAACTTCTGATTTTTTCGTAGTTTCCGGAGAAGGTATACATAGACGAACACAATCACGTCAACTACAGATTTTTAAAGCCTGATGGTTGGATAATATAATAAACAACCCTTGTTTAATTAAAATGAAGTAGAATGTGCACTTTTTGAAGTACTTTCGAAATAGGCATATGCACAAATCTCACCTGAATACGAGAAAAACGAACCTCTTGTGGATATTATCTTTGTTACATTGATGTAGAAAGAAAATTAATATCAAAATCCCTCACATGATCGTGAATGCACACTTCTGAGGAGTGTGATACTAGTTTTCAGAGGTCCTCAAACATGTCCATTTGTGATAAACACCATAGTGAAAGTAACCAACTGCCAAAAGTTATGAGTTATAATGCCAAAATCAGGAGTTAAGATAAGTTCTTTCTGTAGATCGATGTTCATGAAATTTATTATCATAGATATTTAGGCTTATTTAGTCAGAAGTATGAAGGTTATGATATCTTAGTCATTATCAAAATGTAAGTCAGTGTCTCCTTAGCGAAGATCATATTTAATAAGTGAAAGCTGAGGTTAACTTTTAATGAATTCGCTAGGCATATTTTTGGTCTCAGTATATTAGGCCAGTTCTATTATATGAGTTGTCTAAAGTTAGTTGCATAGGTGTGGAAAGTACTCACTACATAACATTTGTACGGTCAAACTTAAATTCGAAATTTTGTGTCATTCACACATATAAATGTGCTGTTCAGAGATAGAAATATCTACGTTGATAGGCTGAAAGCCAAAACGCACCTAAGACCTGGATAAGGATCGAACCCAGGACCTTCAGGTTTCACGGTGAAAGCGTTAACCGTTCAGCCTCTAAAACGGAGTTTAGTGGTTCACAGTTTCCAACTTCTATCAATTCAGGATATAGCTTGACTATCACCCAAGGTTTTCAGGTGGGATCCGCAACTTGATAGAAGTTGGAAACTGTGAACCGTTGAACTCTGATCCAGTGGCTGAATGGTTAACGCGTTCGTCATGGAACCTGATGGTTCTGAATTCGATCAGTAGCCCGGTCGCAGGTGCGTACTACTGAGAAGTTGCATACCAGAACGAAACAGCTGTCCAGTGCTCCTAGGTTTTCGATGGTTCTTCAAATGATCTCAGCCCGTGATCTATACTACCCAAAAATTAAAATCCCCATTCATCTTAAAAAATAATCAGTTTTATTCAATCTTATAACCGTCCGTCATCAATTTCTTAGTATATATCTATCCCAAATCATTTAAAATCTGTCTGTACTATATTCAATTTCATGTCGTCTGCACACAGTCAACTGGAAGACTTGTGAGTCAGCCATTTCTTAAACAAAGTCATTCAGATAGCCCCAATGAACCGTATTCTTCTTGTATTTATAGGTCTAACTTCTTTGGTTTAGTAGAATTAGTGAGTGCATAATAAAGGAAACTCATTACCCTATATTTCAACACCTACCTTCATGGATTGTTAGTAGACAAGATTGTAAGTATTTCGTACTTGGATGTCTGATGACACTGGATATCAGGCCTTTTCAGACGATAATATCACAGTTGTTTATCCTATTTCATTTAATTTTGTTCACACAATAAATGAACGTGTTTTACATAGAACAGAAAGCATTAGGATTCACCTCGATAGATATTATCTGTGCTCAAATGGTTTTTACCCCTATGTTTCCTGTGGACTTTATTGACTTTTTTGGTAAATTTTCATACAAATAGTTCGATAAGTCTATGAGTGATCAGGTCGCTGGAAATGTATAGCGCTAATACTTCACATGTTTCAGCTTATCTTCGTCTTCGCATTAGGCTGTTTAGACAGATTTCGTTAACAGAATTTATTTCATTTTTATCCTCAAATTGCATGTATTTTGGTTAATTGTGGAAATTCACTAAAGATAACAACGGTCAGAAAATTTATATTTTTGTTATCGTGTAGAATAAGATTACAAAACTCCTCGTAAGAAACCATAAACCTCTGAAGCTTTTTAGAGCCATTCGTGTTGCGTCGAAGTTTCTTGAGAAAGGATGTGAATGAACGTGTAAATATCAGATTGGTTGAAGCAACAAAAGTCAATAAGATATTCACATCCAGAAAGGCCAGGAAATAACCAACGGGATTGCAAATATATTGAAACCCTTGTATTTTACATATATTTTTGACATCTTTCATATTACCATTTTTTCAGTTTATCGAGAAACTCAGCAGCCACCAAGTGGTGAAATCTAACGGTTATCGTTCAAATGCCCATATATATATATATATATATATATATATGCCCTTGAATGGAAGCCAAATGGGAAACGACAAGTCGGGTTTCCGAGAGTTACATAGAGGAGATCATGTGAAGAAGAAATTAAAGCATATGGGGAATCGTGAAGCCAGGTTCAAAAGACTGCAGAGAAGAGAGTGAAATAGAGACGTACTGCTGAAGTCTTATGTTTTAATAGGAACCCAAGGACAAATAAATAAAATTATATATATATATATATATATATATATATATATGCATAGTTCAGGATATATCAAGTGGTCCATACAACGATATAAAAAAAGACACCAGCACATGCTAATATATAAATCGGAAAATATCTGCATTTCAGTAGCTCTATTAGTAATCGGTATGAACATTTATTGGTGATACTCTAAATGATGAAATACGAAGCGTACCTTCAGATATTGTGGACTTATGAATACTGGATTGTATGTGAATGAAAAAACGAATTACACACCCAGAAAACAATAGCCATAAAGATGAAATTTACATTTATTCAACTGAAAGCTTAGAGGATTCTACCAATAATCAACTTCATCTTTTCATCTAGCCTCTACAATATTTTCTTTAGTAGTAACAAAAATAAGGGAGTTATATCCGTTGATTCTGCTTGGAACTTCATTGTTAAGTCCAACTGCAGAGCTGATGACAGATATTTAGGTAGAGGTTGCAGTTTGCCTAGTTGCTGTTGGAAACAAATAAGTTATCCACTGGTTGTTTAACCACATAATCGACCCACATGTATATAAAATGAATAAGAATACGATATGAAAGTTAGACGAAATACTGATTGAGATAAGAAGTCGAAGGTCCCTTATCTAGAGTTTAGCCTACCAGCGATGCACCCATATTTATTCAGCTCAAGAAGCTGAATTACCTAAATCACGCAAATCCCGGTGCTTATAATATCATGATTGGCTACTAGGCATTACTGGTCAGCATTATTATTCTATTATCACTCATGCCACTCAGTAGTATGTTGCAAGATTAGTTAGATATATAGACATTCACATCTGGTTGGTTGTATGAATTTTTTTCTATTGATTCAGTATAATTTCGCAGTGAGGATTCGTACTCGTTTACATGATTAGGACGCTGGAACTATACGATGAGAAGCAGGACGCAACTAATGATATTAACCACTTTATTCCAATCAATTTTAATACAATTCGGAATTCTCAACATGATATATTGTTACAACAAAATCTGTATCTACATACTCTTTTACATTTCGAATAGTATCATTATAAGAACTTAAGTAATGTAAAGAATACTAATAATGAGAAAAGTTTACATTGTTAATTAAATTACAGGAATGAGATTGTTAGCTGTCGCAGAGTTGATATGTGAGTTCTGTTCTAACACGTTTTTCCTCACTTAGTATTATTCGTAATAGGTAAGGCACAGACAAATTCTTGTACTTGGGTGTACGAAGGTAATTTCTTCTTATCCTCCCTGAGCAGATATACGAAGATAGAGAGAGCTTGGAATGAAGTAGACACCCAGTGTCAGTCAAAATTACTGTAGGTAGTTGCTTGCTAGAATTTAAATGTCTGTCAAATGAAATGATAATCAGTTGAAACAGTGGTACAGCACTCACTCTAATGCCGACTTTCAAAGCCTACACAATATAACATAGTCCATTCTTCAATGATCAGGATAGATCAGCGGGGAACAATAGAGAAGAATGCATAAAATGCAAGAATTAATAAACTGCTAAGGTAAAGGTTGAGTTGTACCAGACAGCCTCAGTTTCTTTATATGATACGTTAAACGAAAGATTTTTTTAGAAGTCAACAAGCTAAGAGGCTATCAACAAAGATCAGAGGTAATTCTCAATTCAAGATGGTTAACACTTGATTAACCTTACACTCGTATTCCGATGAATATCTGTGGAGAAGAGTGACTGAAGGTAATCAGCTTTCTTTGGTAACCACCTGCTGTTTGTGCTAAGTATTTCCGGAATAGTCGTTTGATCTACGGTCATACACTTGAGAGACAGTTATCATCCATAATGGTGCTTTTTCTTAACTTGACCATCAGCTTGTAGAGCGATAGGTTGTAGTGATTTTTAAAATGAACGAGAGTTCATAAAACGATCAGCTAACATAACTGAATGATTAAAATAATATAGAAAAGAGAAGTCTGATTCAGTGTTTTCCGTGATAAAATTAGTTAGTCCAAAGATAAAACAAACCCTTGGCTCAAACACAGCCTACTTTTTAGACTTTAGAAAATGCTTGTATATTAACACTGTTGATTTTGTGGACAATTTGGTTCAAATAAAGTCAGTAATCTCTGCAAAACCAGCGCAGTTTTTCCATCCAAAATTGTTCTGGATAGATGGCTTTCATTAGTATTTTAAT